CGCCGTGTAAAAAATAAACTGCATCTAATGAAAACCGGCAACAAATCTGACAAGCACAGATCCTAATCCTAATCATCATGATAAGCATTATAACATAATTTATTTCAGTTCCCAGCATGAGTTTTCGATTCGATGAAAATCAGATGAATCTACTGAACTCATCTTCTGAATAGAACAAACAATATTAAAAAGAGCATTTATATTAGAGAGTGTTAATAACAAGTGAATAGAATAAGCTGCAACGCACCTTTTTCGCCGAGGTTTAGCTCACCGGATTCCAGATCCAGTCCTACAAAAATTTATTTGATTGGAACAGTCGAAGGCTGAGGCGAATATGGGAGGATTGAGAATGTTTAGTCGTGGGAAGAATTGAGTTGGTGATAACCGTAGATCGCTAGGAAATGTTAATTTAGTAGAAGAAATTGTGGCAGAAATGTTGATTTCTATCTTAGCTTTAAAGATTGTCTGAAAAAGTTGAATTCATAAGCCGTGGACGATGGATTTGTGATAGCAATGGAAATTTCCATCACACTTGTAAAGAATTGCAAAAAGTAGAGATGTAAATTTCTACTACTTTCATACTCAGCACTTATTGAAATGATCGGCATATCAGTTCGTTGCGTTACTGGCTGCCCAGATTTTCTTCTTTTCTGGTAGGTGGTAAGCATGGAAACCTACAGTGTGTGAGTTATACCAACTTAAATCACCTCTTAGGAATGAATGGAGAATATTTTCACACCAAGTTGGTAACTTCATTTCAGTAATCAAGGGATAAAAATATGAGCAGATAGACTTAATATCAGGTGGACTACGTTAATCAAAGCCAGGAAGCATGGGCAGGGATAATGGAAGCATCAAGGTCTAACTCATCGATGTATAGGGTAAGATACTGGGAGTGGTTTATAGCGTAAGGATACGACAAGATCAGAAAGGAGAGTGCTGGGGGTGGACACGTCAGGATGAAGTTGTGTAGCCGAGTGAGGTACTCGTCAATGTGAGTGATCTTGGCATTATCATAGAGGACAGAAACTTACGCATCTTTTATACCTGAGTAATGAAATATACGCCTTTGTTTTGTTAGTGTAATTATATAGAAATTTTGTTTTTGCAGTAGCAAATTTTGTTATGGCTTTTATTATTATTGTATTTTTGTTATTGTTCTTATCTTGTTCTTATGTTTATTATTGTTTTTGATTAAGGTGAATTGAAATTGTGATTTGAAAATTGTATATTACAAAGCATTTCTATATATTATCTCACTCAGCTATTAAGTAGATAATATTTTTTCTCTGAAACAGAAATCATAAGCTGTTGACTTGCGTAGGTAGTAAATCTTAAATGTCAGAAGTCTAAAATGCATAAAATTTTATCTTATTTTAGCACTGTTAAGTACATATCTAAATCTCTAAATAACAATATAAGCGTTGGTTAATTTTTGAAACCCTATATGAATATCGTATAAAACAAAAACACAGTCAAATATAAAAGCAGCATATTTCCTTAAAAGTATACAGTTTTCTAATAGGAACGCAACAGAACGGATTCAAGAGCTTAAAAATGCAGCAACGAGTAGTCAAAATTTTGGTATGAAATCATCATTGTAGTTACTTTTATACTAAAAATGTAATAACATCATTTACATCAAATGATTATTTTTCAGTGTCTCATTTTTGCAGTCTCTTTTTACTTTCTACAAGTTAATGGAAATTGTAATGAATGTCAAGAAAATAACATAGCCTGTATTGATGAAACCCATTTTCACATATGTGCCGGTGGTCAAATAGATAAAAGGTTTACTTTTATTTGTCCTGACAATGGAATTTGTACAGGGTATGGACTAAAGTGCATGCCAGCTAATAGCGGTATAACTCCGTCATGCACGCCTGATTCCGGTTGCGCTATATGTTCTCCCACAAACATGTTTACCTGCATAAGTCGTACACAATTCGCACAATGCAGTGGATCAGAAATAACCGCTAATGTTGGAGTTTGTCCTGACGGCTTCACGTGTGACACTACTTCAAGCGCAATTTGCATTAACGATTGTAATAAACCTGCTTCTTTATCTTGTGATCGGGACCCAATAACGCTCTAAAATTATCGATAGAGCTTATTTTTCCAGCATCAATTTAGTTAAGTTGCACTGCTTACAAAAGTGATTTGTTTTTGTTAATATATATGTAATATGGCGGAAATAAACGATTATTTGGGCTATTCTGCAATTTCCATATACAAGTATATATAAGTACATACAAGTATATATAAAAAGTACATTAATATATATGTATACACCTTTTAATGTAAAGGCATTTCAAAAAAAGTTGCATTTTATCTTATGAGATTTATTACTCTTTCTTCGTGGATTAATACCAAGGAATGATATCAGCGAACACCGGATGGATATTGAGTTTCTGTTTTTAAGAAAATATAATAAATATATTTAGATTTTCGTGACTTTTGCACAATACCTGGCTTCCATATATATGACGAAGTACTATTTACTTTTTATAAAGCAAAAAATTACATTAAGTACTACAATAATTCGTTTGGTTTTGATGATCCTTGTGCAGTAAATGACTTTTCTTGTATTTTAACATCCTGTAGGATTTTCACCATTTTGTAAGCAAACGGATGTTTAGTCAAGTATTGTTTGCACACTGCCTCAATATTATTCAATTTTTTCTTATATGAATTCCTTTCAGCAAGCACGCTCTGTAGCATAGCATCCTTGTGGTCTTTCTCTGAGCTCTTTGAACCAACCTTTATATCAAGCAGCTTTTTAATAATTTCAGCCTTATGGATACTTTGTGGTTTGGTATTGGCAACCGCTATATATTTTTGTACGGATTCATTGGTTGGAGTGCCATAACCAATTTTTTGATTGAAGCGTTCTGCAACATGATCACGAGTGCTAGTTGAGTTTTTACAGTGAGAATCATAAAACTGTTTAAACCAAATTAGAAAATGTAAATTTGGTATATAGCGATACTCAGTAATATCCAATATCGGTATTATCTTAGACTTGATAACAAATCTGAGAGAGTCAATTGCTGATTGCAGCAACTTATAGTTATGTACACAATCCATTTTCACATTAGTAAAAAATACAACCGTTCTCAAATCAATTGTGTATGGGAAAAGATAATGCATAGCTTGGCAATAGGCTGCACCAGTACGTAATTCGCTAACTTCTCCAAAGTCAGCTCCTACAATGCCATTTAGCCAAGCGAGTAGTTCATTGGCTGAACAATTCGATTTTGGTTCAAAGGCCCAGCACGAAGTCGTTGACATTCTGGCAACTTTTCTTGTCTTGGAATTACAAATTACAAATTACAAATTTAGAATTTCAAATTTCGAATAAACTACAATTTAGAATAATCAATAAAAAATAATAAAAAAATCTTTAAGAAAAGTACATCATTAAATATTATTATAAAAACATTGGTTACTAAGTCAAATTTCATCAAAACTATTTCTTAAGTTTGACAGTAAGTTCTCACTGGGAGGTATGAAGTTGGAATCTTTAGAATGTATATAGTTGTCAGTGTAGTGTGGTTAATTACTAGTTATCAAAATGTCTGTTTTCGGTACGTACTGCAGCTACATAATTAATAATTTGAAAATACCGGGCTTCTCTTAATAACCTTGCTAGGCGTGTAGTGTACAGCTGTCATGGGTGCCTGGATATAGAGACATTTCGGACAACTGTAGCGCAAACGATTTTGCCAAGGAAGGTACTCTACTCCCTGACATTCATTTCTCAGATAGTGGTGTCCCACTTGCAATAGCTATTTTTCAGCTATTTGTGTTCGACTTGCAATGCCTAAGCTGGTAATCAAATAAAAATATCTGAGTATAGCTAAACAAAATTGAGCTGATAAACCCTGCTATCAGATTTCAAGATTGATCTCGTCCAAACTGCATATAACACATATTAACCAGATTCTTCAACTAATATTTAACTGATCAGCAATACTGGATCTGTTGTGCCGGGTCACTGCATATAAGAAAGACATGCTATGAAACTGGGTCTACCTTATACACACTTTTGTCGTGATTGTTGCTGTGCAGATGAGGAGGAAACCGCATTTTACCTCACGTGTCAGTGTCCATCATTGAAAAGATAGCCTCTTTTCTTACCGCCCTGACCAAGATATCATCCAACCAAGATGTCATCCAGTAAAATCAGGGACTGAGTCTAGTTTATAAATTTGTCGAGTTGGTTTACTTTTACATAAATGGGGGTGTATTGCTGTGCGGCTTTGCTCGTACTCTGACTTTATCTACCAACCTAAGTTACTCTAAAACGACTGTTCGCGCTCCTTTTTAACTCGCAATATATTAAAATCAACCTGTTCTGTAAGGTTGAGCAAAACTTTATCACAAATGAAATGGATTACAAAGATGGGTTATTTCAAGAAGGTGACAACAACAAAGAGCTCTTAAAAATCAGACCACTGTATTATCGAGACCTCGATATTTTTACAGCACTGCAGAGATATCCTGAGATACGTGGTAAGCTAGAAAATTAAAAACTAGTAGGTTTCTCAACACTATAGGTCTAATCCGGCCTTTTCTTATAAAAAACTGCATGATCTTATTGTTGAGTAGATTTTAGAAAGCATTTCATAAAAAAATCTAATTACTCGTTAGTTCACTTTTAACTAGTTTTGGTATTAACTGTTGTTATGTGCATATTTCTACATAACATACATATATATATTTATTATAAAAGAAAGTTTCCTTTATAGTACGAGGCTAGTTAACTCAATGCACTTGAGTACTTTTATCTCTATTAACTGCGATGTTCATTCATAACCCCTCTGCATGCTTTGATTAAATTTTTGTTTATCACTTCATCAGACTAAGCAATAACTGACCTCAGATCTGCATACCTCCCCGAGGAGCCTATAGCCATTCTGAGATCCATTCTGAGACAAAATAAAACTTAAAAAGCTGACTGGAGTGTCTATGAGACCCTCCGGCGGGCACATGCTTTCTTATGTTTGATGATGGACATATAAGCAATGCCTCTTGATAATATCCTAGGACAGGAGATTAGGGCTTTGATCATTTATATACTTTATATACTCACATCGTCATACGATAAATAAATTACTTAAATAAATATGTGGAATTTATTTATATATATATATACATTTAAATATAAATTTAATTGTGTTTGTACGCTTATATTCTTATTATATTATATATTCTTTATATGTTTAATTTGACATCTTATAGCATCACGAAAAAATTTTCAAGTAAAAACTTTTAATGAAATTATTCAAATAAAGGAATAAGGAAGCAGCAAGGATTCCGACTTTGAAAAAAGGATTGAACATACTATTTTGTAGAAGTTTAAGCCTTATCGCGGTTAATGCATTTAATTTATTTACAAGAATTTTAGTTTCGAATTGCAATTGAGCTCGGTCTAATTGTAAATTTTGAATTTGCTGTGCTTGCATTTCCAAGATTTGACGTAGGCCACTCACACAGTGGTGGTTGTCATCTTTTATCAGTAAACCACAACCCATTCGACATCGGAAGGGATTCTTATCACACGTATCCTCATGTTTTTGCAATGAATCGAATTTGAGTTGAGTTTCACATCCATGAATTCTGTTTTCACAACTAATAGTTAGGTCAGCTAACATATTGCGAACAACTCGAGATGAAGTTGTCAAATCCTCTTTCACTAAAGAATGTCTGCATTCCGGGCACTTTGAATGATCAGATAAGTATTTCAATATACAAGCACGGCAGAAATCAGCCACACACGCATCACATTTTACAGGATCTTCTAGGACGTCGTTACATATGACACACAAGAGCAGTTCATCAACGAATGTAACGAAACGATTGATTTCATAACCCATTTTTGCTAAAATTATTTTTGAAAACAAATAATATTATTATATTATTAAATAATATAAAAAATAAAAATGAATGATAATTGTTAATAACTTTTTACTAATCGCAAAACAATACGCGATGCTTGGGCGTCTCATAAAATATGATGAAAAATCTTTAAATGACTGGTGAATGGGATAAAACCTATTTATATTATTTGTTGTTGTTGTTTTGGTTTAAGTTAGTGCTATTGCAGGACTTTTACTCTTTTGTGGCTGGGGGCTTATCCCAGCCCCGCAATAAGCTTTAACTATACTAGAATTATTATTATTTATTTATCTTTTATCTGATGACGGACCGTAGATCAGCATATCTTCATGTGCGCCCTGAGGTAGACTTCAGGTTTGTTAATATATGTATATGCTTTCAAGTAATGGAAATTAAATCACATACGATTATGTTGTATGAAACAGTATTCGTCAAATAAGATCATTTTTCACCATGAAAAAAAAATATTAAATGACAAGTGAGGTGACGCATTAAATTTAACGGAATTGTTTGAAGATTATATATTAAAAACTAAATAGGTTCAATCAAATGATTGAATCCAACCTATATAGTCAGCAAATATTAAAGTTGAAGAAATAAACCGAGGAAAAGAATAAATTTGATGTAGAAGAAAGTTATTGTATTTCAACATGACAACTCGACTCCCCACACAAACTTTCTAGAGACTTAAACATTCAGAACTTGACGAAAATTTTAGTGAATTTACCTTTTAGTCTAATATTGGCATTGGGGTCCAGAGGTGTATCCACTATTTCCGCAGAACTCACACCAATATTGAAAGTAGCTAAATTGTACAATAAAATAGAAATGGAAAAAATACTATTATTAATAAAATTATTTCATATATAAGACAAGTCAAATATTTTGATCTACAAATAAATTATGAAATATCTCACCGCTTTTGTTTATGACTATTAAATACTGGACACTACTTATTGTCTTTTCGATCACATATACTAATAACCAAGTAGTAGCCCCTCAGCAATGATTTATCTACTCAAACTCACAATAAATTTTTGAGTACTTCCTTCATTCCAATTTTTATTTCCTTGAATAATTTTTAACTCCAATGCCAGGGCGTTTGAAGATACATCCAAAACTTATGTTAATTAGTTTTTTAAATCTAATATAGCAATTATATGAAATTTTTACAAATTAATTTGTAATAGATGCCAACAAAGGGAGAATGAATCTCTTCTCGATTCTATCGAAATTATGTATATCATTATTTTAGTAAAAAATATAAAATTAAACTTTTATTAATCAAATTCAACTAATGCATAGCAAACTAATCTTTACCTGAAGTATACCTGTGTTTACATAGGAATATTTTCAAATGAATCGACACTAATACTTGTATGTCTAACTATCGACATGACCATTAGTAAATCTGTTAATAAGCGTCGTATAGATTACGACTGGCGTTTTAATCACTTGTCAGAGAACGCTGGTGAAGATAAAAGGATAAGTAAGATTGGTGAAAGTCTAATTAGGGTATTTGTTGGTTTCAGAGAAATATTATTGGGAATAAATATTTGGTCGCAAAAACCGTAGTTGTATAGAAATATATTAGAGTCTTAGAATACCCAATCATAAATAAGAGAAACTATAGAATAGAAGGAACATAATCATAATTAGGTGCTAGTACTCGAAGAATAAAATATTGATTGATTATTGTTGAACGGATGAACAGAATGAATATTCTTTTGTGCCAAAATGTTAACTGTTGAGGATATCATACCTTTAGATGCGATTAGAAACTCCCGACCTAGCAGTCTCCTTATTACTTAGATCAAACCTGAACAGTCACAAAAAATGTAAAATGAAAAAGTTCTATAAGACCATGTTTACAAAAGACGTGCTTGTATAGAAAGATAGTTGAGAGCATAGATTTCCCCTCATTGGAGTAGAGTGGGAAATATTATAGAAGCTTGTCCAATTCTATAATAATGAAGATGAAATTGGGAGAAATGATATTAGTGGGATGAAAGTCAATAAACGGGTGAGTTATCATCGAATGTGTGAAAATAGGTAATCGGCGATGCAAGTAAGGTTAAATCTGGTTTAAACTGTAGAAATGAAACAGAGATTGTCCTTAGGCTTGCATTTATAATTAATGTAGTCGTAAAGGATTCCAAACAAAAATAGATGGAATGTTTCAATTAAGATCGATATTTTTTTTTGGAGTAAAACTGTTTGTGGACCACATCTTTCTTAAGTGAGAGTACTTAAGAAAGATTAAATTAGTTGCACATAGCAAAGAAGCTTAATCTAATAATTGATTTGATTATAGCTGCGGAGGGCAGTTTGGTGATTAATATGGCAGAAGTAAGCATTTCGGGTGCATTATTCTAAAACCGTTTTTCTTAGTGAATTGACACTTTTTCTTTAATTTTATCACAAATACTATATGTTTATGATGAATAAAATCTTTTCTTTTCTCCTTGTATTCATAGTAAAAGCCTTATTT